TAACATAAAGAGAAACTACAAAATTACAATTCATTTAAGAGATATATAGAGTGGCTTATCCTTAATGAATCGCCCTGTACTGAAACTTTAGGTAGACTTTATGTACCTAACAATAAACCTAAGGACTTTATTTTGTATTTTCTCTAATTGATCACTATGTCCAGAACTATTATTTTACCAAGAAAATGCATACTTATGTAATGAACAGATGGGAGAGTTATACAATTAAAGGCAAAGGTAAATTTGAAGGTAAATGGATCATTGGATTTGGACAATTTCTTTTAAACATATCAAATGTGTTACCAAACTTAATAAATCTTGTATTTTGAAACTCTTAACGAAAAACAATTAATGTTAGTAAAAACTATTATGGTACTTCTTCGTCTTACGAAGGATATGTTGATAAATAATTTATACTTTATGTTTAAGTAGCGTAATCTGGTGGTTAGTTGGTAAAACTCAATTCATGAGATAATATTTTCTGGTATTTTACAACATAATAATATTATTACACAATGCTTACCGTTACTACATTTCAGATATTTTTTATAAAAGGATTTTAGAAAATGTTTTTGAAAATTACACAACATTTAAATGTTTTATTTAGGCTTTTTTAAGATTAATAGAGTTATTTTTGTTTTAAAATGTGTATGCTGTTATATTTTATTGATAAATTATTTTAACACACTCAGTACATAGATATAGTTTAAGTATTTTACACTTTATAATAATTATTTTTTTTATTTTATTACAATTAAACTTTAAAATAGTCGAGCACAATTATTATTGTGAATGGCGAAAGTCAGAGCAGTCAGCATTAAAGACAGGGTGGTCACTGTCAAGTTTATTGAAGGAAGTCACAACAATGTCTGCGGTACAACGATATGAGTTGGTAAGTGTAAAAGAAACAGCTTTTTTTTTTGTTTAAATTTATTTTCAAGTATTTTTATTTTTATCTCGTTTAACGCTTGGTTTGTATTTGTTTGAAGGTTTCGGTTAATTAGTTTCAGATAGCTGGGAATACATTTCTGGAGAGTGTTTTGGTGAGATAAAAGGGTTGACAGCTGTCAACGTTTAGTTGATGTGTTATGTATCATCATGTCAGATTGCCGTACTAATATTTATACAACCCTCTGGTTACCCTCAGAGGTATTCTCTGTGCCACGATAAATATTATATTCCAATGAAACGTTGTACAATAATTAAAACAACTTTGACCTGAACTGCGGTTACCGTGCTAACTGTCAACTGAAATAATAACATAATACAGATTCGGTAGGTTGTATTAGAAAAGTCTGAATATTGTAATAATAAAGACATTAAGTTAGAACCAAAAAGCAAACCTACAAAACTGTCTTGTAAAAGTTACTTACCTGCCAAAAACTACTTTTCAAAATTTATCCAAAATTGCTGGTCAAATCTGGTCTAACTGTGAAATTAATGAAAAATAATGAATTCAAAATGCTATGTCTTTTAAAGTATAAACTGGTTCGTAGTTAATGAATGACCCTGTAGTCACAGCCCTGTGCACAAAGGGTGTTAGTCTCGCCTTAATATTATTCGATTAACCACACATCCTGTCTATAGAGGTTAATTTTTTTGTGACATAAATCATAATGATCTATAAACATGCCATGCCTCGCCTGTAGTACCATTCATTTTTTGGAAGACAAGGATGGGCCATACGCTCAATTTGAAGGGGACGTAGAAGCACCACATAATGTTAATTAGACCGATGGATTTAATATAATCAGTAATTATTGTTTTTATTACAGTAAAATCAGTAATTTTTTTTTAAATCATTTTCCCTACGTATAAAATGTTTTAATAAAAAAATACATAAGAAGTATGTAAAAATTAAAACGCCCTTTTTTGTCAGTATAAATTATGCTTCTCTGTGTGTGGCCATATATAATATGTAGTTTAGGCAATACTTCAACGACAAGAGCCAACTGGGCAAGTGAACATCATTTTACTAAACTTAGTTGAAAAAATCGTTTTAACTACCTATTTATATATATTTCTTTTTTTTTGTATTTATAACTAGTATACAAAAATTGCATTGCTAATTACAATTTTGTGTTAGGCTGCGTGGGTGGTGTATGGTTTTAAAATTGACACACCATTATTTTGCAAGATAGCCACCACTGTTTACTCCTCGTTTAAAATCTAATAAAATGTCAATTACTTTAAAAACAACCAAAAACGAACTACAGTTATATATAATATTAAACATTTTACATTTTTACCTAAAAAAAAAAGCGTGGACCCTATTCAACAAAGTCCCTAATAAATTTATCAAATAACATTTCAAATAATGTTTTGATATTGTAAGTTTTTTGTAAAATTTAAATTTGGTTCAGTTTTAGTGTGTGACACATACGTTTCATAATACTTAACTCAATGAATTTGTACTTTTTCTTTTTAGTAAAAAATAAAAAATGTTTAACATTATTTAAAACTGTAGTTAATTTTCGGTTGTTTTCAAAGTAATTGGCATTTTAAATAAAATGTGCTACAACTTATTGGTAAATTTTTCTTGTAGTAAAATTATTTTTTTAATTTTTAGTTCACTTTTTTAGTGTTTTTTTACAATAGCATGTTTTTAAAAAGGTTTTTTTTTAAATTAATTTATTTTATTTTTTACTTTTTAGTCCTATTAAAGGTATTTAATAATATGTCAAAATCTGGTCATAAAGTGCAAGTTACAATTATTATTTTCCTTTTAAGTTTAAAACACAATACACACCAAGCTGTCATGAAATTCACTAATTTAGAGCCGCTGCTCTTGCTGGAGTTTTGTAAAATAACTACTTTGCTGTAATCGAAAAAAATGATGTTTTTATTTACAATTCTTCTAAATAGATACATACATGACCGGTAAAAACAAACAAATGAACACCTTTATTTATGAGAGATATTATATTTTCACTTTATCTGACGATATGACGTGTAAAGGTTAAACGTGCAGATGATTGTTGTTGTAACATTATCAATTACTCGTTGATCGGACAATGATAATAGAGGTATTTGTTTTGTATAATATGTGTACTAGTATCGCAAAACCGTAGCTCATATCGACCATCTATATCTTTCATAATATTTCAGTGGTCAGAATTTCAAACAGAATTTCAACTACTAAAAATAATTTGATTTATTCAATTGTATGTTTTCAACGATATTTGTTACGAAATACATGAAATATCTATTATTAACATTTTATCCACATGATTTTGTCTGGCCTTGGATAAATTCGCACGCAATATCTTAAACACTGCTATCATACCGGATATAAAAATAAGTTTGTCGAGGCCATCAAACAGGGCCAAGTAGGATAAATATAAACCAGAAAGGCAAAAATATTGGCGTTCGGTTTTGGTCGTCTAAATGACCAATAAATTGACTTGCAATTAATTATTCACTTATTATCAAATTAGTATTTGAGTAAAAATGTCAACTGTCTTTTGTTAAAAATTACAATTTTAGTCATAGTTTTTTTAAAATCAACCTAACCCATCTGCTTGGAAACAAAATATAATTTTTATTGGTAGGTAATTTATACGTTATATTGCATAAGCTTGTGTTTAAAGTCATAATTATTCTCTTTCAGAAAAACGTAGGTTATCAATTCGACCTGTGTCTTATATCTGTTTAAGCATAAAATTTTACCACAACCGCAATTATCAAAAGTTTCACTGGCAATCTTAAACCTTAGGGAAAAGCTTAAAATATAGTAAAATATATTAACTACAACGTTGACGGGTCGTGCCGTCGGTGGAAATGTAGGTAAATATATTCAACACGGAAAAAAATAAGAAAAATAAATAAGAAGGTATTATTATCGAGACGCATATTTTTTTTTACAACAATAAAACTATGTGTAAAAAAAAAATGCAAATTTAGAATATAATATACTTACAGTATAATAATATGAAGTAAGAACCTAACCTTGACGTGTCAACTCGAATGATTTGAAGGTGCAACTTGTAACTTGTTCATGTATTATTATTTTTGTTGTCAAGTAACTAACTGTAAGTTTCTCCAGTGTTTACACGGGTGATAATGAAAACAAAAAACACTTGAAATTTTTAAAAAATCATTATTGTAATAATAATAATGAGAAGTATTATAACTTTAGCTGCGATTTGGAGCCACGGAAGGTATTTTTTTTTTTAAAAACCCTTACCTAACCTCTTAAATTAATTGCAACTTTGTAGTTTTTCTTTTTGGATTGAACACTTTAGTTATTTTACAATATTAGAATATACTAAAATATTAGATAGTTTTATACGGATGTTTTCAAAAAAAGAAAAACTAAAAATGCATATTTACTTTCTCAGAAAGAGAGAAATGTTATATTTTTTTATTAGCAGGTTTTCGTTCATTGTTTTTTTTTTCTATGTGTTACATTATATTCATATATCGATTATTATGTATACTATATTATAATATATTGGCAAGTATAATAAATTCAAATGTTTTAACAACACCACCAAAGTGATTATTATTGTTGCCACAGTCTCGCACAGTTTTATTAATCTCATAATGCTATTATATGTTATAATAAACTATATAAGCGTTTAGATGATTTACTACCGGGTAAGGGCGTGGACACGGTTTGACACAAAGTTCGTTTAACCTAAAATATACTACACACTGTTGACAAGGCTGTTGTCCTTGATGGGTAAAAGGGTGAAGAGCGACGTGTAAGACCCGTTGTTGTCTTACAAGTCACACCCCAAAAGGGGGGGGGGTTGAAGGGTGTGCGAACCGTTTAAATGAGTCGGCACGAACAAATGGGATTTACGACGCCGCACGTCTTCGGAACACAAGACATTATTATGTTTATACAAATCCTGTACATAAATATACAAACAGATATATATATATATATATATATATACATTCTATTAAGTAACTGTGCTCGGTGGTATGCGGTAGTGACTAGAGTGCTAGAAAAATACAGAATCAGTAGCGTTTACGGGATCGGCGCGATATCATATTGTAATTCCAACTGTTAAGTATTCAGATAGTAAAATATACACTACACTATATGAGTGTGGCTCCACCGTACACACCGGCCACGGTTCATATTCCAAGTACGTCCAGCGATAACGGTAATAATAATAATAATAATAATAATTACTGAAATATATTTTACAATAACGTTACAACAGCTACGATTACAACCGCCGACTAGATTAGTTGTTATAATTTTTTCGATCAGTCCTATCGCGTTACCTTGTCCGAGCACAAACACACCGCGCCGCACATTTGGATTGCCCAATATTTGTTTAAAATTAAATCTACATTTTTTCGCCTCGAAAAATGTCGACCGGTGTAATTTTTCGAAAAGGCGCTAAAGGTGAGAAAATCACGGAAAACCGAATAGAACACCTTTGACGGACCGAATTCGGGCAGAAACTTGAGCGGTCAGTTACAACAATATGCACGTCCAACGACGAAAGAGGTCCGCCGGTAAGTTGAAAATCTTAATTAGTTAATTAGTTAATGAAATTTACTACAAATATTACTCGGACACAAACAATTTCATGGCTGTCTAAAATCAGATCAAGATCATCTGAACACGGTTACTTGGAAGTCGGTGCATTTTTCCGTGTCAGCGATTTAAAATGTCTTAACAATCAATCGATAATTGCGTTTTCAAGTAATTTCGAAACGGTACAAAACGATCATTTACATTATCACCGACGTAGTAACTTGACTTGCTGTGGCTGAACAAACAATAGGTATTATCTGTTATATGTTTAAACGAAAAGGAAACCGGACCACAATCCAAAGTCCTTATATGGGTCAGTCGCCTAACGGCAGTTCTCTAAACAATAACATTTTATTTCCATTTAAACACATTTACACATTTAAATGGCCTTAATCCACAAAACGGTTTGATTTCTAACAGAAGCGGCCTAAAATAAATACTACATAATATACTATAATTTATATGTATATAAATTTGAAAATAACACAGTCTTGACCTAGGTATTATAGTTTGATAGAGACACCTAATAAATGTCCTGAAAACAATATTGGTTTTGGTCAGAATATTTAACGCAAATTAACGGTGCCTAATTTATTGAACATGTTTTATAAACTAAAGTAAGGTGGCTGCTTCGAAACTGAAAGCCTAATTATTTTTAACATAACCGTCGACCAAACCATAAAAATTATTTTTTTTTTTTTAAATTAACATTATTACTAGTTCACTTCTGAGTTGTGATTTGTTTGTCTTTTAACATCACAATAACGGTATAATGTATACAATTATACATAACAAGTATTGCAAACGATTAAATATAGTGTGTTTTCCTAAAAAAATCTACATGTATAAAATAAATGATAGCCGAACTAATTTTTCCATATAAATTAGTTGAAATAGAAAATAGGTAACGGTTTGAGCATTGTCGAAAGAATGGAATTTGTAAAATAAAGTAATATTTAATAGTTGATGTTCTAGTAGCATTGATTTTATCTATTCCCTTAATTATCAAAAATGATAGGTCTATACAACAAATTACATTGTTTGTGTCGTGAACTCTCGACAACAGTGCAGAACAATACCGTTTAATATGTATGTACCTATATTAAAAACCACCTTATTTTTGTATCGCACGCCCAATGCATCAGAGGTCTAACGTACAGTCTCGTCTCTGTTGTGCCAACATCTATGCGCTAGATCTTTCAGTATTATCGGCCTGGGTTCGTTATCTGAAATATTGTTATTTTTCTAGCTGTTAGTGTTTAATCGTAATTTTTATCATAATTAACCCGCGAACAACATGGTGACCTCTCTCGGTCGACACCGTTATAACACATTGTGATGATGTTGTGATGAACTGGTAGCGAACATTTTTAGATTTTTTTTTTTTTTTTTAATAATATCAATTTGCTGAAAATGTTCACTGATCGATGACCGACTAGTAACTATATTGTTAAGTTGATTAAAAAATAGGTAATACATTTGAATGGGGGTTAGATTAGCTCGGTGAACATTCTAGGAAAATTTGGTCGCTTAAGTCCTAAATGTCATTTTTAAGATTCTTTCCCACGTTCGGTGGGAGAATATCTGGAAATCATTGAAGAACTAATTGCAATTTTCCACCATCCCAAAAAAATGTAACTCTATGAAAACATAAAATAATAATAATAAAAAAAAATAATAATGCGTTAATTTTCTAGATTAATTTGCACAATGATAAAATAAAAACTATTTTAAGTTTGAACACCGGTTTGCCTTCAATACTTTTTACAATAACAGTCAAGTTGCCTATTGGAAGTCTAGAAATATTGTAAATCATTTCTTATTCATCTAGTTAGTTTTAAATTGAATAAGCAAATGAGCATGGTATAAATGAAAAAAATAAGAAAAAGCGATACACATTTAATGGAATCTCATTTCGAATAAGATAAATGTAATATGCACTTTTACCCTTGTCGGTTTTAAATTAATTCCCCCCCCCCCCATCGACAATACCAATTTCAGTAAACGTAGGTCACATAAGCCTTAAAGCTTGTATCAACGATACATACTATGAAAATACATTGACATAAACAAATATATTACAATATACAGTTGATCCGGTTAAGAGCTCCATTAAGGACCAAAAAAAAAAAAAATATATAAAAGCATCTTACAAAGTTCTATAGGATCATAAATTAGGTACTAAATGTATCATAGAAAAAGTTTTATAATAAGTATTAGACTAGGGAGAAAATATTCTCAAATTTACATAAAATATACAAGAAATAATTTCAATAAATATTTTTTTCTTTTATTATTTATTTTATTTTTGCTAGAAAATGTACTTTATATGAAATTTTTACTTAATAAATTCTATTTGCACAATAATATGTATTGCCTATATAAAAGTGATAATTTTTAGTGGACTTAGAAAGCATTAAAATTGATCTTAAAAATCTTTTCTGGTGAACATTTTAATACTGGAATCGGAAGCTGTTATTGATTTACAAAATGCATATTTGTTTACAAGGTTAACACAATGTTTTTATTGTGTAAATCAATGCAATAAAACCAATATTATAGTAATGAAATAGCATCACTGTGAATAGTCTCGCGATAAAACGACAACGATAAAGAAAAATGATTCGGTGAAATGACAGGAGTAAATTATTTGTTCAACTGTTACTATTAAAACTATTTGTTGTTTACACTGTAAACACACCAATGAGAAGTAGCTAATAAATACCATTAAGGTATACATTGTTTATTTAGTAGTTCATCTGTTTTTGCTTAGCACACGACCATTGGACATCGTTCGTCACGAGCTAGCCTCTATAAGGATACAAATAACGTTTTAATAGACCTTTTTATTTGGTTACATAACGAATCTAAAGTTAATTAAAATGTATTAATTTAACCTCATTGAGTACCTAATAAATGTAATACTATGTACGACAAATATTATTTGGCTAGTTTTGTGAAAGTTAATTGATTATGAATTTCTAAATCAAAATATTCTACTTAAACGCTAAATACTCGGTAGCTTTCAATATTAAGACTAATACTGTAGAGTGTAAAAAATGATATTATAAAAAAAATATTTTAAGACCCAATAAGAGTCGTATCCTTAATCCTTGTAAATGCTTAGCAAGGACAATTTTTAATAATACTTAAGTAACTTTTAAAAGTAATTATCAAGTTTAAAATGAGCAGCAAATTATTCGTATTTTAAAAAGTTTTATACGATGCCAGAGCTCTGGAAAAAAATTAAAAAAAGATAAACATTTGAATATTATAAAATAACATAAACTTAAGTAGTTTGTCCAAAAATAAAACCTACAAATTGCAATTGTTTTAAGTGAGGATAAGTGTATTAACCATAATCCACCCTATCGCTGTACGGTGTCGTGTATACACTTAAGCAAGTTATAGTAAACAACTCTTTTTACGACCAAGCAATAGGTCGGCTCCATTCGTTCCCGTCAAACGCATCGTTTTCCCACGAATTAGTTTAATTAGTTTACATTAGTGTCATCATTAAGCCGTTTTGACGGTTTTGTGTACATCCAACATTGGTGTCCTCATACGGACATGCATTTTCCCAAGGTTATGTTATCTTATTCTCACAGCAAAAATATATTTTTATTTATAAAAATTGTATTATTCTAACTACTAAAATAGTTACATGTGCCTAGCTGTGTTCTTCCTACACAATAACTTTTGATTTAACAAAATGTATTGTTGGGGTATACTTCTGTTATCCTAAAACTACCAAGTCTGCAATTTATGGACTCAAAAAGCAATATTTAATTAAATTTAGTAGTTATAGGTGGCCCCAATGGTATTTTGATTTAAAAATATACAAAAAAAGTACCCAAATGGCTGTCTAAAAAAAAAGGAATTATTTTCTCTAAATTTAATTGCCTTGGACTAGATCAAAATGATTGGATATTGACTAGGATGTAACTTACTCATTGAAACTATATAAAGAGTTATTCTGTTTTTAAAAGAAAACTAAATATTTTAGGTTATCTACCCATATTGTAACGATGGTAAAATAAAGCAGTTACGACAACAGGAATCATTCAAAGTAGTCAATCCGCTCATTTTTTAAATCTTGATAACAAAAAAGGACCATTATTAAATATCTAAATAAATTTCAATCAATTTAATGTCTTAGTACAAGCAGTTGACGATATTAGTGAGCTACATTCTCGAAAGCTGAGAAAAAAGATTATAGTGAACCAAAGTCGCCAATATTAAGGCGCATAGTGTAGGCAACACATGTGACAGTTTCGAAGAATATACCCAGCAATAAACTATACGACTCACTGGCATTTTTCCTGTGTTTATTTATGGGTTGTTCTATGACCTCTGTTGTGCACTGGCAAACACCTTTAAACATATACGTACCAGAATTTTTAGTAACATTTTTTCACACTGTAAGAAATTTAATTACTCAATTTTAAACCTAAGAATATTTTCTATTTGTTAATAATAAAGTATTAAAAATAGGTGTTATAATTTACTCACCTTTCAAGTATTTTATTGCATTTAGCAGTTATAGTTTTATTTGACATATGAAGATAATATAGTAGTTTATAAGAATGTCTTGGTAGTGATTTCCCTGCATAGTTAAAATGCTTATATTACTACCAATCTTTATAGAGCTTTGATAATTTCAGTAAATTATGAGTATTTCTCTACAATGTGACGTTAATAACTGGCAACTTAAACTTTCAATAAAAATAAGTTTAAAATTTAAATTGATGTATAATAAAAATAAAGTCAAAACATTTTAAATTTAAATCATATGTATATTTAATCACTACGTTTTACATGCACTGTATAATTAATAATATCTTTTTAGAAAGAAAAAAAATTAGAAAAATGCATTATTGAATTATAATCACTTATAGTTATTATAACCCTTATAAAAAAAGGAGATAAAATTTGTTTTGATTTCATTAAAAAATATCCAGATAAAAAACTATACACACACCAGGGGTCTTGAACTCAATCTAATACAAAGTTTTTTCCTGTTTGTGCTACAACACTTATAACACGTATAGTCATAGTTGAATTGTTCACATTGTATTGGAATGTGATTTTACTAGAAAATTAATAATTATTAGACTGTGGGAGATTATCAAGCGGGCTTCACAATCAGACGAAATTAGTAGTAGGACAAATTAGATTCGAGAAGGTGGAAACTTTTAATTATCTCGGAGTGGGACTAGATGCAATCAACGGGGAAAGTTTAATAGGAATAGAGTATCCAGAAGAGGTGGCAAAAGACAGGGAACTGCGGGAAGGGTGTTCATAATATGATCAAGCTGTTGTAATTTTAATGGTATTAGTATATTATTTTTTTTCATTAACATTTATAGCTTCCTACGGTGATGACGCACAGGTTGGATCTTGCGTCGAGATGAAACCTTGTGGAACGGAAGCGGCCTGCAACCAGCTGCAAAATAACACTTATATTTGCATATGTCCACAAGACGGGAGCAAACCCACCAAAGACTTGAAATGTCCCAAGCGATACACAGGTAAGTTTCTGACGAACGCTGTTGTAGTGCTATTCATATTATTGTTATAATATTATGTACAACCCGAAAGTTTTTTTTTTTAATTTCCAGTCCCGTTGTCACCTAAAACAATACCGAATTTGAGCATAAATAAAAACGAACCCAGAAAGTACCATTCTGGATTGACGATATTGTCGCCACACAATACAAATCGATCAACTCCATCGACGCCGTTGAACGAAACCACGTCGTTTTTCCCAGTAAGTAGAACTGATAAGCTTTAGCTGAGAAGACAATATTGATTTTACAATGATTTGTTGTACTATCTTATAACGTTGACAAACAAAAAAAAATATCATAAACCTTTCTCCTGGAAAAGACGGAAACTTTTTCTTTATTTTATTTTTTTTTTTATGAAGTTTTAAAACTAAAGGTCTGAGGATTAGATTAAATGTAGTTCTAGAGTGAGACTATAAAATAAAATAATTTTTTAAAAATCAAAATTAGTCAAAAGGTGTCTGAAAAATACAACCTTCTATAATGCTTTTATTGGTTTTTGAAAGGTTTATTTGAAAGTAATTTTACTACTTTCAGTGGTAATAATTTCTGAAAATCTGAGGCTTACCTGATCCCAATATACTTTATACCTATGCCATAAATCAAAATAACTTAATTTAAGTTTGAAAAAAACACCCGATTACCATGTAAAACGCTGGCAAAGTCGGCATTTGGACTTTCTTGATTTATGGACGGTTAATATTTTTAATTAAAAATATGTTTCAAATTTTTATTTATTTATTTATGATTAACCACTGTAGAGCTCTGTAGTGAATAAACAATATCAGATAAAGTTCTGTAACTATTCACTGCACTCGACACGCCAAGGTGATTCTAATAAGACCCTAAACAAAATCAGTTTCGGAGATTTACAATTGAAATTTTTTTCAATGAGCCTAGAATCAACTTTTTATCTCTTATAGTTTAAGTGAAATTTGAAAATTAAGCGTTATAACCTAACCTAACCTAACCGAATTGGTATGAATTCTATTTAACTGTGTTTAAGCTAAGACAAATATCAATTTTTTTAATTTTAATGGTAGAATATTGTTTTTTTCCCTATTCACAACAAGGTTTTAGAGTTACAGTGTCTCGATTTTTTTTAATTTTAACTATCACACTTACTTGAACTTACTAATCACTACCGTTGTTACAGATGAAGCCGTTGTACTTGGACGTGCTGGGCTTCTTAATGACCATAAATCCAATTATTTTGTTAGCAGCCGCGGTGGCGACCGTTACAGCAATTGTCATTTTGTTGGTCATGTGTTGGAGCTGGACTACGAAACGGACTTGTTGCCAAAAGAAGACATTAAACAACAAGGTGAATATTAAAAACAATACACGTAAAATTGATTTGTGATAGCGCATATATAAGTGTTATAACAGCTTTAGTGTACTACATGTCTGGGACGGGTGTGTAACTGTTGACAGTATAATTTGTGTGCACAGACGCCGGTGGTCCCATTGATAAAAGGAATGATACAAGACGACTGTTACACTATGAATCCACAGTACGGGTCACAATCAGCGGATGACAGCATGTTAAGGGATACCATTTTGATACCGTACCTGAGTAAAGACTGCATATCGTCCATGGAGGAAATAGGCCAGGGCTATTTTGGCAATGTCTACAAAGGTACGTTGGACAGTTTAAAATGATTATATCATCTAAATTTTATTTAATTCTATAAATGATTTATAAATTATAAACATACGTGGTATAATATAAATTATACTATTAATCATATTTTATAGTATTTGAAATACTAAATACCTTATGAAATTAAAAAAAAAAAGATTTGCATGCCAACAATAATATTAGATAATTATTTGTACTTAACATAATGATGTACCTATTAATCATTTCTATTAACTTTATCTTTCTTTTTTGACTAGTGAACTAAATATACGGGAATAGTGTTATCTTTGATCGTTAGCAGAAGTAAACTTTTATATGAAAATCAAAAATAATTGAAAATTGACATTCTCTCTCTTTATTTATGAAAATTAAATAAATCATATTATTATAATATATTATACAGGGTGTTCCAGCATGAAAGGTAAGTAATAGGTGATTGGACATCTGGGCACAGGCCCCCCGTTTTTATTTTTTCGATAAGTAAAAAATTGAAGGTTTCGACAATTAAGTAAAAAAACTAATGACCTAAAATAACAAAAAAATTATTCCATGTTATTTAGTGCAAAAAGCTAACCTTAAAAGAGGGGTCACATCATATTCAGTCTTTTTCAGCCCCTAACTCTTCTCTTGTCATTTATATCTAGTCTCTCATAATTTATCTCTTACCAATTATCTCTTTTTTTTTTATGTTTTATCAATTATGTCTCAGCATTTATCTTTTATCACTTATCATTTATTTCTGGTCTCTAATCATTTTTCTCTTATCATTTTTTGAGTTAGGGGCCAAAAAGGACTGAAAATGATGTGACCCCTCTTTTAAGGTGAGCTTTTTGCACTAAATAACAGGAAATAATTTTTTTTTTTAAAGTTATTATTTTTTTACTTAACTGTCGAAATCTTCAATTTTTTACTTATCGAAAAAATGAAAATGGGGGGCTTATTTAGGGGTTCCCCAGATTTCCAATCACCTATTACTTACCTTTCATTCTGGAACACACTGTATAACACTATAATATAGTATTAAAAAACACAAATACCTATAATATATTTTGTAATTATCAAAATTTGATATTGACACTCTAATATGTCTGTACGATTTGGTAGTTGCAAAATTCAACTAAAAGAGAGCGCCACGACGCTGTCTATTTTACTATGAGTAGAATGGTTTCATATTTAACATATTATAAATACATACTTGACAAGTAATTGAAAAATGTTGACTAGAAAATAGGTATTATTTTAAGCGAATTTTATAAAGTATGTCTTAAAGAGCTAATATATTGCTCACCCATATTACCCCATTTAATATTAATTATATAACCCAGACTATTTTAGCGGTTTAAACTAGGTCATTGGGTTACATACTATTATTCGTTTTAAGTTTTTACTAAATATTTTTGTGTGGACTACAGGTACGTTAAGGCATACGGATGGCAAAGAGGAGACCGTGGCGATAAAAGTATTGAAGGATCATGCTAACTCGGAAGCCAAGGAAGACTTCATGCGGGAAGTAGAGATTATGACGTATTTCAGACACCAAAACATTCTTACTTTAATCGGAGTTTGTCCTCAAGGTAATACAATTGTCTGGTCATTTCTCATTGTTAATCAAAAATTATGTTGATGACCTAACCTAGTCATGTCCAAAATATATCAGTTTAATTTAATGTTTGTAGAATTCCTCAAACAAATCAAAACAGTACTTTGAATTTGATTAATAATTTTCAAAATTGTTTTTAATTTAGTTACACTTACCTTTATGTTTTAGAAGACAAATTCTCTCCCTGGATGGTGTTCGAGTACATGGCATACGGTGACTTGACAGAAGTATTGCGTAACAGCAGCGAACAGTTCACTAGTTACTCCTCGAACCTGCCCATCTTAGACAAGGTAAGCGCAACAGTGCTCAGGGTGGATACATGTAAAGTTTTAGTAAACACAATGGTGTTTATTAGAGCTTTTTTCACTGTAGTTTGTCTCAAGTACAGACATATGTAACAATAGGTAGATTTTTAGTAAATTATTTTAATTTTGAACATAAAAGAAAATACTTCGGTATAAACTTATGGACAATAAACTACTTAAAATTGTTTTTTCTTTTTTATATACAAAACCAAAGAGGGGGAAATGTTGGCCCAGTGCTTCCTAAGCCACTGTATTGGTTCAAAGTGTGCTCAGTTTTCCCCCAAGAAGAGTTACAATAAGTGACACCCTTGGGTTGAAATAATATTTCATATATTTATATTTTTTAATTAAGATAAATACAACTGTATGTGTTTCAGGACGCATTGTTAATAATATCGTTGCAAATAGCAGCTGGTATGAAGTATTTAGCCAGCCAGAGATTTGTGCATAGAGATTTAGCTTGCAGGAATTGCCTGGTCGGGAATAACCTGACCGTGAAAATTGCTGATTTCGGAATGAGCAGAGATATATACACCTGCGACTATTATAAAGTAAGTACTATTTGTGTAACGCCGGTTCAGTCGAAAAGAGCACACGTTATTTCTTAGCCTAAAAGAGCACACTCGGTGGTCGTCTGCAAATTATTATCTGTTCATTAAAACCGTACATAATAAGCGTATTTATTAATTTGATTTCTAACACCCGCAGGGGCAGAGAGGAAGAAACCTAACCTAACCGGTTTTCTGATAATATTTCAACTATTCGTCCCTAATATAATCGCATAACACAATCGTCAGTGCTGCGAATTGATCAGATCTTAAAAATAGTAATAAATCCAAATGTAACCAAATAACCTATGTCTTTATTTTTATAATTCTCTCAAACTTGATTACCTTGAACTTGGCTTTTTATTACTTGTTTTAAATGTTTAGCTAAAAAAGTTTCAAAAATTACAATAATAATTGCTAACATTAATATAAAATGACATTATAGTGTTGATGTCATCAGTGCACAAATGTCATAAGTGCACATTACAGTTATGCTTGGACATGACAGGAGAATTAGACAGGAGGAAGGGTGGACATCAAGCCATTCAAGCTATGTTCTTTCAAATTGTTATTATTGACTCATTTACTTATTATACTAATCGTATTGTATAGACTGTAAATATTAAAAAATTAAAAAGTTAAATTTTGAACAATACTTTTTTCTGCTTCGAGAACGGGACCATCTAAAGCTAAAGAGATTGCACACCAAATATTTCTTATTTAAAAAAGCAAAAAAATTTCACTTGGTCATTTATTTATAATTTTAGTATATCATCATTAAATCAGGTAGGTTATGAACTTCTAAAGATCTTCTGTATATATGCTCTTTTAGGCTTCTTTTTTATGCTCTTTCGGTGGCTTTACCACCCATTCGTGCTTATTTGGGGCGTTAATTTGGTCAAAAGTTCACTCAGATAACGCCAAATGTGAAAAAGATTAAATTTCGATTCTTCTCACACCAACACTTTTTTTTTTATAGGTCGGAGGTTCAAGATTGCTTCCAGTGAGATGGATGTCCCCAGAAAGCGTCATTTATGGCAAATTTACATTGGAATCAGACGTGTGGTCGTTTGGCATTGTACTATGGGAAATATATTCATTAGGAAAACAGCCTTACTACGGATATTCCAACGATGAAGTACGAAGTGACAATATGATAATCATTATATATTTTATTAACGCAGAATACAAATATTTATTAGCTATAAGTAACATAAATTATTATTTATATCTTATTGAAATGTTTGTAAATCATAACCATAACGCCCTCTAGCTGTAGCCTGTACCTCCTCCTAAATAAAAATGTATATGCCTCTAAGATTAAAGTTAACCTAAATTAAGCATTCAATGATACATACGCAGACCAGGTAGCAGATATTATAAAGATTGGAGTAGATAACAAATCTTTAAATTAAAATGCGCGGAGAATTGAGAATTCATATTAGGTATTTGCATTTTCAATTTCGCAATTTGCATTTAGAAACTTTCTTTTGTATTTTTGAATATTTTTGAATCACGATGAAACTTTGTTCCAATTTTTTACATTATGGGTTTGATAATCCAAAGTTTTGGTTAACCGATTATATTCTATGAGAAGACTACTACTAAGGCGCCTATAAAAATTGATATCGTGGGAATGAAGGTTGATCGGAACTCAAACGTCAAGACGGAGATTAAAACCTACAACAAAAAACTATGCTCAGAAAACATTCTTCTTTCTTAATTAACTAAGAAAAAAAATATTATTATCATGAAATAAAAAAAACGTAATAAACAAATTTAAAAAACAATAAAAGCTAAGTTTAGATAAGGAAAAAAAAAGAATAAAATTACCTTATTATTAGCGAATCAGTACACTGGTTTAAACTCTGATTAGTTAAAAATTGATCTTAATAGGATGATTATATAGTCAATTTTCAATAGATTGCCCACAATCTAACGGATTAAACGAACGATTAAATCAACCTCTCGTCAGAAGGGTCAGATGTAAATTAAATGGAGACAGGAAACAAGCTTGATCAACGATATCTGAGGAATGTGTGGCAGAATACTGTCAAACAGTTCATAGCTCGACTAAGTTTGAACCGGCATATTTGCTGTTCGGAAACAAGTCGGTTATGAGTCCAATAGACACTTCAACAAGGGTAATATTGAAGAGGATAGAAAAGAGGAATTGAAGAAGATTTGATATAAATAGGATAGTGCATGAATGTAAAGATGGAGATAAAGTTTCTGTGGAAAATCAGAAGGAAAACTGATAAAGTAAGAATTGGACCATTTACCATCCTAAGGAAGATTTCGGCTTTATTTTATAAAGTGGCTTGTGGAAAGAAGAGGATAATATAATTGTCTTTTTGCGCTTCTGTTTAAGAGACCTCAGGGGGAAGGTGTAAATCATATTAGTCAGATGTATTTTCAATATCATATAAAATATTTCTATTATTTATGTGTTATTGTTCTGTCTTGCAGGTTTTAAAGTTAATACACGACGGTGTGTTGCTGGAGATCCCGCTGAACTGCCCGCCTGTTATTTGTGTACTGATGAACGGCTGCTGGAAGAGCGACCCCAAGGAACGGTTGAGGTTCTCTGATATATACGAGCGGTTAAAGAACGTGACCAAACGACCCGAGTTGGATAGTCCATTGCCCCGACCACCCGCCTTGCCAGCCATCGTCAATCACCTGAATCTCCGGCAGTATTCATCAGAAGAGCTGTTGGACGTGGACAACTATTTACAACCCGACGACCTGGACGACACCAGAGAATATATATTACCCCTGCCTTATTGAGTTAACGGCACGATTCAGTTCCTCTATAGTAATTTTTGATAGTTTTTTGTAAATTAGCAATATTACTTGAATAACAATTTTATTTTGCTAAGTCCTTACTCATCGTGTATCTCGTATCTGACTTTTCATGAAACATTATTTTATCCACCTTTGCGTGTCCATGTCACTTGTTGTTTTTTAATTTTATTACCTATATATTTGGTAAAAATCTACGTACAATTATTTTTTAGTTTGTAATTAAAAACAATTTATTTTTAAGTACACAATATTATAGTTTTAAATTGTAAAACGTTTTTAGAAAATATTTGGTTCTATTTTGTTTCATATACATCCAGTGATGAGTAGCATACACAATATTAATGCAGATGATATTTTAGTTAAACCATCTTAAAATATTTAAGATTAAAACTAGCTACAATAGACATTTTTTATCAGTTTTTTTATTTTCTACAAAGTTTTTTTGAAAGGTAGGTATAATCGTATTTAAAGGATTTATATTCAACATAGTAGTCATGCTATCATTTTCCATTTGATAACAAGTTGAAATCCATATTAAAGGTATTAAAAATCCATAGATTCATTTTTAGGCATTAAGTATTGTAACAAAATCTGATTAACACTTGCGCCCTTTTTAAGAAAAAGTAAAAATCATATTTTCTTGGTTTTGACCGTCGTAAAACAGTTCAATCAAATATGATGAAAATATTTTTTACTATTAAATATTTGTAGTATTTTAATATACAACATAATAATACGCACACAAATTAGCTTCATTAATAATAATTTTAAAATGTATTTTCACTAATGCCAGAGGAAAAAAAATAATTTTGAATTATTTTTTCGATTGAATACATGAAAAAATAGTGTTATATAACAAGTTATTTATTTAATTAAAAATAATTACATTTAGCTATTGAATCGTTTAATCATGATATTACTATTTTAACAATATATTCCGTGACAAAAAAAATAAAAATAATAATTATAAATTAGTTTTTGAATACTATAAATCAAACGCAACGCTTTAAATATTATAATTAATAGATAAACTAAAAATATTTTATCAATTATACTTAATTAAAAAAAATCAAACATTTCAATCTTTCAAATATTTATTTTTTGGAATATTCAACTTTTTTTGCATGTATCTGGAACAATAAGTACTTCGCAACGTTTATGTCATTATCTAAAAAGCAAAATAAAAATTGTTTAATTGAGGACCAGCAATCGTTATTAACGCGTTAATGTATCAACTTGTGAATTTACAATTAAAATGTAACGTTGGAATTTGCGGATTTTTAGCCATAAATTCTCTCACGAACTTTTTCGCTTCGTTTTCAGATAGCATACCGTCTTTGTCCTGGTCACGTTCTATGAATGCAGATATCATTGACCTGATCTCTTTTGTACTTAACACTATCTCGTCCTGAAATGTCGTCAAACCAAAATAAAGTACACTGTATCGAATAATTGAAAAACAGGAAGTAATGCAAGAGACAGCAAACGACATTTTAAATTGACAAAAAGTAAATTGTATATTACGTTTTCGTTATCTGTCCTGAAACGTTCTGCCGTAACAATCATCAACTCCATCAACACTTTAGCAAAGGGTCCTGTTCAAGTTTCAATATCATAATATATTGTATACAAAATTAGAACGTACCTGTCTAACGTGAATATATTTTTATGTTTATCTTACGGTCAGATTTAAACAGCATTGACTGTTCGAGCGGCTCAATAGCCATATGGAACTTGTTCAAGACGTTTTGAATTTTCAAAGGATCGATACGACCGGTTTTAACATCGTGAAATCTATACAACATAATGAACTCTTCTATCTGTGCTTCGTTTAGACCATTGCCCTATAATATAAGCTAGCCGTACACAAATGTCAACTCATTCTTTAAATTTTAAGTATTTGTACAGTTTTTAACGATTTGTTAAGTACTATTTTATAATGATTCTTTAAATTTTGCTTTTGAAAAAACATGAATTTTGCATTCATTAGTTTTATCCAGAAACATATTTATGGCCAATTTTCAAAAATTACAAATAATAGCATCTTTTTGAAAATCCTCATTTTAAAATATCTATTCGGGTATTCTAATTATAAATGTATGGTATCTATATAATGTCTCAAGAGATACTGTTTTTTTTCCTTGCACAGTTATTTACTTACTTCCGGTAGAATTTCTAACATGATTGACAAGAATGCCGCTGAGTGGACTTTACCTAAAATAAAAAAATGAAGACTGTTAACTTGAAGTAAACCACTTCCTCGACCTAAATTTAATACAACCTCTTTTTCCTTCTGCTAAATGTTCGACCATTGCCTTCTCTCCTTCTGTAAGGTGTAACTGGTTAAATAAAACTGATAGTTGTCCTTCTGTAAGGTATCTATTTTGCCCGTTAAGTTGGAGGTGTTCATTGAACTTATTGAGGTAAAACTCTACTTCAATAGTCGTCAGCATTGGAACCTAAGTACAATATTAAACATACACGAATATTTTGCAATAATTTATTTACAATTTATTGATATTTGTTAATAGTTGATATGTTTTAGGTTAAATTAGTATTATAAAACTTGTTATTTTAAATAAAATACCCCGAAGCTGTCAAGTTCTTTCTTATCTGTATACGCTAACTCCAAAAATGCTTTCTTAATAGCCAAATTATAGTAGCCCTCTATATAAAATAAATAGTATGCAATTAGTTATTAATAACAAATACAATAGGTGTCAACAAAGCTTGACAAGTTTGAGATTTTTATATACATTAAATTCAATGATTTATGCTTAACAAATGTAACTATTTAGACCGATTAAGTAGTTACTTAATCGAGTACTATGTATGTTAAATTTCTAACTTGACTTGATTATTTTTTTTTAAAGTAACCCTATCTCTTAAACTTTATTTCATCATTAATTTACAACCAAATTAATGGTAAATAATATCTATTGGTTTGATAGTATATGATTAGCCAAGCCTAAACCTATTAAGACAATAACGCAATGTTAATTGTCTATAGATTAAAACAATGAAACAGCTATTTAAATAATATGTTACAATGTTCGTGTTAAAAAATTCATGCAAGATTTTTAATTCAAAAATCTTGTTTCATACCGTCTGTGATATTCCTAGTAAAGGTACCAGGATTGCTATTGTCGTTCACACGAATACATATTTCTATTTGGTCCTTATTTAGTCCAATGCTCTGAAATAAAATGTAATGACTTAGAGCTTAAATCTTAATACCGGGTGATCCCTTTACCGTAAGACACTCATTTTCTGCGAAAACTATTGAAATTATTAAATTTATTGAATAACTCTCGCAGATAAAACTAAAATTCCAATCCACCCTTCATACCGTACTAAATTTTTAAGTACTTAATAAGTCATTATTTAAATCTGGTTATTATCCAGTCATGATTTTTTGCAAATATTTGTCAAATTAAAATGTCAATCCCATATAATATGTTACCTTTTGAAAACTTAAGGTCGTGAGGTTTTAACGATTAAGTGACCGAGATATATTATAAAAGTTAGCTTGTATAAGTATAAATATATCTACAATTATTTTAGAGAAATAAGTATCTTACCCAAACTGATGAAATGAAATTCACGGCACAAAGAATAACGGCACTCTTAAAATGCATAATAGTTTAAATTCAATCAAGTACGTGTAGAATAGAACGACTATTGGGGTTGAAGTCAAAATAACGAATTAACAGTAACAGAATTAATAAACCTTTGTTATTTGCTGCACACACAATGTATATTTGCTGCTAAGGTATACACGTTAATGAGAATTTGCAAGATATTTACAACGATAATGTATTAGGTTTTATTTTATATTTTGAATTGTCGTTGTATGAAATGCGCTGGTGTAATATATATATATAAAAAGGCAAAGTGTATAAACCACACACGGTTAGTAAAATTTTTTTTTTGCGTCTATTTACCTTAAATTCGCATAACAGTTGTTCAAAAAAAAGAAAAAAATGCGCGCCCCGAACCCATTGTGCTGGCTTTTTACACTCAATATTAGTGCACATAGAAAAAGACAAACCAAACGACTCCTAGCTGACTTTGTCCTTGAACTTGTTTATGCCTTTGTCGATGAAAAATACTTAAATATATATCATATATTTACGTTTATCTTTTAACTTAAAACTTTACCGCGCCAATCCAATCAAGTAATATTTAGGTGCGTCACTTCATGCATTTAGAATTGCACTCCCTGGAGCGGCATTAATTTTGAGAAAATTGCAACGTTCAGATTTTTCCCTTTAGTTACAATTAAAGACCTGCCTTGGTGCCAAATTTCACGTTACTACCTGTACGGGAAGTTGTAACAAAAATGAAAACTTTAAGAACTTTCCCCTTTTTAAAAGGCTTAAAATGAAGAGCTCCATTTTTTACAGAATCCTAAGCTACTCGAGCTGAATTTATGTTTAAAATTTCAAAAGCTTATCCTAAGAGGAAACAGAGATATGCGGGTTAGAAAAACTGGGTGATTTGTACCGGGTTCGTGTAAAGATACACTGGCATTGCTGGAACTTGGCATGGCTCATTGCCGTGCGCTCAGATCATGTCTTAAAACAAGACTGCCACACTCAAAAAATAAAGTTTTGAGGAAATACAACTTAAAGATTGAACGTGCTATCCAAATGGTTACTTTTAATTTTCGAAGCTTTAATTTGAATACATTGCAATTGTTTTTGATACCTAGTTGTTTTATAACAAAATATGTGGTTTTTTTTTGTAGTTATATCATAATATTTGTAAAATCCATCTTATCATCCAAACATTTATATTAAAATATAAAATATATTCCACGAGAGATGGAATGTATTCTGGAAGTCTTAAAATATATATTTTTTCTATACATTTATAAAACTAAATTCGAAATACTGACAAATGCCCTACAATTTTCATTTCTCAAGTTAAAAATTAAATGGACCCAAAATATCTTAATAATCAAAATCGTTTTAACGTTGGAGACTTCAAATAATATAACTAGGTCGGTTCAAAAGAGTATTTTTTGTTTTCGAATAGTTTCTTATTTAGTACGTTGGTATACGACTATAACTGTCAAAGAAGCATAAAAAACAACACATCAAAATACGTTTTTTTCTTATTTCAATAAATAACACAACTTAAAACTTGTTTTCATTGCGTTTCCGTTTAAGAAAGTGAATATACAATTATTCAGTAAAGTAACGATAAAGCCATATAAGATTTTCAAAGGGTTTAAAATATAAATAAAAAAATTATTATTCATGATCAGTATAGAAAGGTACCATAAGATCAATTGTAGGAAAATGGATAAAAATAAAATACATTACAAAAAATAATAATAATAATAATAAACGTTTTCATAATAATTTAAAGCTTTTCATTATTATATAAATAATAATTTTGTATATTATATACGTATTTAAAATAAATGTATTTAACATTTTCTCATTTCTCTTAATTCTGCTTAAACATTGTTTAGTTTTAGAATACCAATTTCCAATAGAATTAATTAAACGCGAATATATTCAACATTAACGTAAAACGATATGTGTTAGTATTAATGTAAATAGCACATCACTGAACGGTTTTTGACTATTAAGATTTAAATATTTTATTAGCACTGCAATTTTTAGGTTGTTTTCTATTATAACTGTAACACAAAATGTACAAACTATCGTTACTTAAACGATTCGTGGTCACTTGGTCAGACTGGTCTTGACATTGATAGGTAAAATGTTTAACGTGTTTGCAGTAGTGGATAATATTAGATAAGAATTTTGTGTAATATTATAGCAGGTATAATTTAGACTACACCTTGGACCGAAAAAATGTTTTACCCCCTTCAAAAAAAGAAACATTGTAAAAGACCGATTAAACCAAGTAAAAAAGCAACTGTACTTCTTTTCTATAGCTAGAGTAAAACACTCGAGTTACAGGTTAGCTTCAGGTCAGAAAAATTGTTATAATAATTCTGTCTAAATTTAAAATAATGCTATTAAAAATGGAACCAGTTAGAGTTGTTATAATTTTTTTTAAAATTACCTTCTTAATTGAAACTTGACCAAGAAGTTGAATAGAACAATCATATAAGTTATTACCTGAACATCTGTGCGGGATATGTAGCGAACATTAACATTATGTTATTATTATTATTGTTATAACATTATTATTAAAATCTAAAATCATAATTGTTGTTATTTATTATGTTAATCTCTATTACCATTAGCGAAGCGTCGTGGGTGGCGATTTAAAACCACTTTTACTTTTTTTTAAATATCAAATATTTTTTTACAAATTCTTAACACAATATTTTTTTAATCGTTTTCTCGAAGACATATGCCCTATTAGTTAAGGAATTATGTACAAGTAATTTTTCGCAAAATCTGCTAAAATCTAAATTTATATTTATTATTACAACAATAATAATTATTTGTTGGTAGCTAGTATATTTTAATAAAAATGTTTTCATAAGATAGGTAAGTAGATATTTTTTATTATCTACCTACATTTTTTTAAAAAATATATATTATAAAAAATGTTATATATTATTATATCATTTCTAAATCTACCCATAATATAAATTTATACCCATGAACAGTAATTAATAATTATTGTCTCTGTGTCGAACTTTGGTCCACGTTTTCATTTACCGTGTTATATCTATTGCCAAAATAGTTAAACAATAAATTATTCGGGTGCGGTCCGGTCTAGACGTCTAGTCAAAAAATGGCAATGGTCCGTCCTATTAATTAAAGTTCATTTAATATGACTTATATTATTACGGTTAACGCCAGGTAAAAATTAAAAACCAATATTAGTCTATTCAAATATTACGTAGTTAATTATGTTGGTTCTAACTTCAGACAGAAATGTCTAAACATAAATATAGGTTAGTATTATATTAATAATATGGTTCTATCAGTGGAAGGCGAATGGATAAAAAAAAGATGGGAAAACATAAACTTAGGAGATATCATTAAAGTGAAAAATAACGAGTTTTGCCCAGCGGACCGGGTAATCATGTGTTCCAGGTAAGACATAGCAAAGCAGGATATCAGTTTGAGACATTATCCCACCGCTGAGTATCTGTCACGTCGACACCGTCAATTTAGATGGTGAAACGACTTTAAAGATTCGCCAAGGTCGTTCAGAGACGGCTCAATACACCGATCTTGAATACCTATCACAAATAAAGGGCACCATTATGTGCGATCAGCCAAATCGATCAATTCATGACTTTAACGGCACTATGCAACTGTCCAATGCCAAGTAAGTGCTAAGGCAACTTCTCGGACGTTGAAAACGGTGGAGCGGATTAAGCTTGTTAGGAACCAAAAAGCAGGGCCAAGAGGCCTTGGTTCTACCTTTTACTTTTCCGCTATAGTCTAAGCATCTTGATTTACAAAATTTCATTGGATTACATTTTTTCAGATTTTTTTTAGCAGAATATAAATATTATTTGAAGAAGAGTATCGAAGAATATCAAAGACCATAAAATAAATAACAAATATCCAGGATAGACTAATATTGGCTTCGGTATTATGTAGTTAATTATGTTGGTTCTAATTTCAGATAGATAAGCTTAAACATAAGGTTAGGCCTTGGTCTTATCTTCTACTTTCCCGCTCTAGTCTAAGCGTCTTAATTTACAAAATTTCTTTAGATCAGATTTTTTTAGTAAACAAATTTCTGTTAATTTATTTATTCAATAATTTGCATCGATTAGGACAGTCGTAAGCATAACTTTAGATCATAGGTATCTAAAATATACATTTTCATCTAACATTTATTTTAAATTTATTTAAAGTAAATAAATTTGGTATTATAAATTTTAGTTTGAATTTTCAATATTAAGACCTTGTTTAATTGCAGCCCCTAACTACAAGTACAGTTAAAACTTTTTTATCGTTACAGACTTTCGAAGAGCTTTATGCTTTATAAGAAATTACTGGAAGAACTGAAGCCAAACTTAAGTGTGGTTGTACTATAACCAACCTAAAATAAAAATGTAATATTGCTAGATCACTTGAAAAGTCCTCTACCTGCCTGTGAAAATCCCGTCAAAATCGGTTCGGCGTGTGAAATTTAATAGAAAATAGTTAATAAATTTATATGGTATTTTGTTGTTATCTGAAAGATGGATAAAGCGATTCAAAGTTCTTGGCTTGCTTACTCTTAAATAAAGAAAATTCCTAAAAAAATGTTGTTTTAGTAAGAGACAAAACCACAAAGATTCCCATTGACTCACCAACGCCAATCAACAATTATTTGACTTAACCCCAATAAACATGAATGAACAACTAAAACACCTTCGACAACATTAAATGAAACTTTTAAAAGCAATAATTATTTAAGCATTAAATATCTTATTAGCATTTGTGGTAGTTGTGTCGCAATAGTGATGAAACTTCAAATTTTTTTATAAGGGTTTTCTCTTAGTTAAATGTAATTTTAATTAGATTCACTCTAGTATTCACAATAGTTGGTCTGTGCCATTTTCGGAAACTTGATTCGGGTAAACTGCCTCGATTAAAATAATTTTTATAGGTGAGATGTCTTTAAACATACCACTTCATTAGACAAATTCATTATAGTGTTATTAAAGTTAGCTCATCGTTGTGTCCCTTTTGTTATACTACTCGATCGAGTCAACCCTTTGACTAAATGCGTTTTGTTTGTTAAGAAGGACAGATTTACTCGGTTTGATTTAAACCATAATTTATTATAAACGTTTTTTAGTAAGCGTGTACTGGTTGGTATATCTTCCAATATATCTGGCCAAGTACTACCCGATTTTGTTTTGCGATTGAAAAACAATAAA